TTTATGCGTCCATAAGACTGTTTGCAAACTATGACAAATCCCATGAATAATGCCGAATTAAAGGATAGTACGCGAATTACTTCCCAGAATGTTAAGGGAATGTCAAATATGAATATGTGCAAAAAGATTAATCTAATTTAAATATTATATTTCGGATTACATATTTTCTTATATTGCGAACCTTCAATTGGTTTATCATTTGAAATAAAAATTAGCTGCTGCTACTTACAGAGCCAGGCCCAAAGTGATGCAGCCGGTGTCGCGGCACATAGCAGGAATTTTTTTTTTTTATCATTATTTAGAAAAGTAAAATCAAGGAATGGCAGATTTTTTTAGAGTTTAGGGAAGACACTGGGCTGCAGAATTTAGTGGGGGCAAAATTTTTAGAATTTAGTGAGGCAACGGACGGCAGAATTTAGAATTATCAGAAAGTGCACCAAGCGGCAAAATATCTAGCACCGACACTGTGCTATTATTATAAAGGGCTTTGGCGATGACTTCTGCTTTGGGGAAGATGTACAGATATTTGGCCGACACCGCGAGATTTCTGTACAGTGGGAAAGTAAATTTTTCATCAAATTTGGATCAAACACGCCTTACTTGCACGGTTCTTTCGCGAAGATAAAGATTTCTGTTTGGACTATTAATATTTGTTAGTATACAACGATTAAAATTTCTTAATAGAATTATAAATTACCAAAGATACACTTTTTTTATTTATATATATATAGCTGATAACAACTCTAGGAAATTCCGTTAAATATGATATGTTGAATAAAACTATTTGTGGGAAGAAATACAAAGCATTATGCTATTTTATATGTAATGCAGGCAAACCACGGCCGAGCGGTAAAGTCTCTGAGCACTGCTAGCTCGATGCGGGGTTCGAATTCCAGAAAACGGGCAGATTGCATGTGTGTTTTGGGGTTTTTTTTTTCTATGTGTAACGTGCATAGAAGCTATTACACTATTACACCATTTCCTATGTGTAACGTGCATAGTTTCCCTTAGAAAGTCCTCCAGGAAGGCATCCGTCCCCTAGGCAAATAGCTTGTAAAGTTATTTTTAGTTGGACTTTCCTGTTTCTTTTGATTTCATTTTCCTGCCGGCATGTAATTTGTTATGACGTAGTATTCAAATTTAAATGTGTTTCAGAAGCAGTATTTAAGCTGCGTGTCAAGAGTTCAGTAAGAGCAGTAGCGGACCGAGTTTAAAATGTGCTCTCTAGTTCGGTGTTCGACACCTTTCAGTTTATACTAATATTTCTCGGCTCGGCTTTACTGTGTGTAGTCGATTTATCGTTAGTTCAAGCTAAGGAGCTAGTCATTTTATTTTCTGTTAATTTACGTAGCCACAAGTGGAGGTGATTTGTGAGAATGGAGTACATGGATCTGTTTTAATTTCTTTAAACCTTTCTTCTGCACTATTTTGTTCTTAAAGACATGCGAGAATTCGCTACTTCGTCTTCAAATTAGAGGCGACAATTTATGATACCAAAGAGAACAAAAGGACTCTATATGCTTTTGAGTGTTCTTCCATAATCAAATAAACCAAACCCAACGTATACTGTAAAACTGCCTCCAATCTGAAGGTTACTGCCATCTTTTAGATGTCTAAAGGCACCTTTACAGAAGCTCAAGAGAAATGAAAAGCGCTCAAAGAAGAAAAGCTCAAGAGCTCAAAGTTTGAGAAAGCTGAGGCTTGATGTCAAGAAACGCGCGAGACCCTGATCACTCCACTAAAGGGATACAAATGCATTACACTCTTTTTGAGATAAAATTGAGTTTGGATGCCTTTATTACATAAAACAAGCTAATTATATAGGCGATAATATTATTCAAAATTTCAAGACTGAAATATTTCCTAAGCACATGAAAGCATTTCTACTAAAAATGCCGCCCACTGGAGCCTCTCAAGTTCACGCACTTGCTTGGTCTCAAATCTCCTCTAGTATAAACAAGCCTTCTCTGGATAATTCATGTTGCCACAAAGGGCAATTTAAACATCTCGGATATAGGTCTGGTATTTTTAAATTTAATCGATCGTGATAGATGAAGAGCTGCTGCTGTAATTATAGTAATATTCACAAAAATGGGATTTTTAAGTTAAAGTTTTCCTATCACTCCCATTAGACTTGCCTGGAAATAATGAGTGACAAAAAACACTTTAAAATGGTGGTCTTTTTGTGGAAGAGTTTATATGAAAAGTTTTGCTAGAATTTAGGCATTCTATACTGGCTGTCACGGATTCAAAAGTTGAAGAGAGAAAAATGGCAAGAGTTTGATTGAAAAGACAAGCATAGGTGAAAATGTTTTGAGCACCACTGCTACTAATAGTGAAAGTGGGTCTTTTACTTATTACCCAAAGACCAATGTTAATTCAAAAGTTAAACAACAAAAGTCAGCATTATGTTTTCAGAATTTCACCATTTGCCCTTTAGCAGCTGAGGATGATGGTTCCGTAAAACCATCGAAACTAGTCTTGTGAAAATTTGCAAATATAACGCTGATTTCTGTTGTTTGATTTCTAAATTAATGTTTGTTCGGCATATAATTTTACCTTAAAGACAAATGGTTTATATGTTTATTCGAACACTGTAAAGCACGTGAGAGCTACTTGCCTAAGGGAAGAAATGCCTTCGTAGAGGATTTTTAGGAGGAAATTAACTTATATTCACGTTACGCGAGGGGAGGGATTATGAAAACACGCATGCAGATAATCCGTTTGTCCAGATTCGGATATAGGTAGAACCAAGCCAGAAAACAAAACAAGGTAAGACGGTTCCCAGCGCTGACGTCACTTACAGAAGAGGGAGCTACATATGTATGCGTAGTCTTTGTGTAGTGGAAAAACGGCGGCGCGTAGAGCCACCGGATTTCGAAAACGCTTAGTCTTTCATCCGAACTTGTGAACCTTGAAGCCCGAACTTAAAATTTTTTCGAATTTTTTTTTTTTTTTTTGATTTGTTTTACATTTTATGCGAATTAAGAAACTTTTTATTAAAATCTTAGCGATATGAAAGCTTTGTGTTTTAACTCGTAAAGTGTAAGAAATGTTTCAAATTTAATCAATAAACTTGGCGATTTAAAAAAGAAATGCCACTGCTCGAATTAAAATATTTTTATCTTCCACGCGGCAGTGTGATGTTGTTCAGAAAAGCTTAAAATAATATTAATTTTTTCTTTCAAATTCATTCTCTTATTAATTAGCAAAATAAGCGATTTAAAAGCAATGAACGCAGATTCATTTCGGTTATTATTAATTACTAACTAGAAATTACATTAACTGGATTCATTAAAATTATTACATATTCTTTCTTTTATTATGTAGAATAACAACTATGCTTCGAACATTCTAAAGAAGCATATGTAAGGATTGTGACTAATGTGAAAAATTTACGGAATAGATCTGAGCTTAGTAATCTTTTGTTATCTCGCATTTATTACTGTCTTGGGAGAGATAGTGACTTCGATTGTACGCCACGAAAAATAATGTTCCTTAAGAAAAACATTTGGAACTTTAAAAAATGTATTTCTTCGAGTAATATTAATAATAGCATTTTTTGTAATTTCCTTACTTGAGGCTAAAATTCTCCAAAAAATGGTTTGGTTTATATGATTACGTCAAAGCCTCGTTGACTTTCTGCCTAAGAGGAGAGATACCTTCGTGGAGGACTTGCTAAGGGAAACTGGCTCGCATACACATTGGGAAAACCACGAAACGTCAATGCAGCCTGCCCGTTCGTGGGATTCGAACCTTCGACCGAACTATCAGTGTTCAGCGACTTTATCGCTTGGCCGTTAGTGAGCCCTCCAGAAAATAAAGAAAATTTTAGGCAAGTGTTTTAAAATAACGAAATATAGCACCAATTCGCCAAAATACTATACATGTTTCTTCTCCGGCATTATAAAATACCTTTGGATGAGAATAAAACTACTTGTTGTACTTCTCCTTTGTTTAAAAAGACGTTTGACTTAAATTAGTAGCTTAATTTTTATATTTAGTGTTCTGATTCTCAATGTTTTTAACGAATCTATCTTAATTATTAAGACGTTTAAAATACAATTTTATGATAGGCATGATTTTTTCAACCATATCTCCATTTATCCCAATTTACCTTGGTAATAATAATGCACTTTTGAAGATCCTGTGATAAATAAAAATAAAAACCTAGGTAAAATTGTTTCTCAATCAGTGCATATTTTTCTACAGAAAGATATTATAAGTAACTGTATTACATAGAATAATTATATTATTGACATCAGCATAATAATCACATATTTTTCGTTTGCTATTGGAAGTTACATTTGCTTCGCGCAGAACAGTGATCCTTTTCTCTCAAAATTTACAAATATTTAAATTTCAAATTTGCATGCTTTTTTCCACAAATATAAACATTTTTAAATAATAGTTGATAAGCTTATTTAGATAAATATAGATGATAAGTCAATTTTAAGAAAAAAAAAATTCCAAATTAAAAATAAACATGTGTCCTTTTAAATTCCCCTTCCGTTAAAATTTCCCTTGCCAACTACAAGTACAATGAGAACACTCACTGCCGTTCAGTATTTTTTTAATCAAAAACAGAAATACCAACCTTTATTTAATTGACCAGCCAATCGAACTGATAAAAGAAGATGATTTTAGTTTAATTTGATTTCATTAATATCCAAATAAAGAACACACAGCTACAGAATTTTGAAATGGGGGGGGGAAATCTTGGATGTATTAATAACGACAGACTTTTTTTTTTTTTTGCTTTCTAGATCTATTAATTTAAAGACGCACATTACGTTGATAATCAGTTTTTATCTCATCTACTGCAACACATGTTACAATTGCCCACTTCATTGTGATTATTACCGACAATGAATTTTTTGTTTTTCTTCTTATTTACCAATTTTTTTTTTTTTTAAACAGACAGCACATGGAACAAGATCAAGTAATTACTCTGTAAGGAATTAAAAAAAAAAAAAAAAAAAAAAAAAAAGGAAAATTACTTATCCCCCGTGTTTTTCCTCAGTGGGTCTCCTCCTAGCAGGGATGCAGGAAAACCACGTGACTCCTACAGACGAAAGCGGGCGGGAAGGGCCCTAACCAATCCTGAAGGACGACTGCGGAAGAACTGAGGGCTGGCTGAGATCGTTTGCTGACGACCACCCTCTCTGATCATGGGAGGGGGCTGGGGTTGGGGATGAGTTAAGCTAATCATTTTCATGTTCTAGAATCCTTCACCCTTCTCAGCTCCATACATCGCCAGAATGATTTCTTATCGCCAAGCGAATGAAATTTGGCGACATAATACTTCTCGTAATTTTAAAACTCAAGAATTCTGTGTATTTTAAACAAATCAGCTCAACAGAATAACGCAACCTATTTTCGAAATATCTGTTTCGCCTAAAAACGGGAGAATTTTTGGGACACGATCATAAGAAAACGAAACAAGAAACAAGACAAACAAGGGAGAAAAAATAAATAAATAAATAAATAAATAAAATAAATAAACAAAAAATAAAAGAGTTTTATCTTATTTCAAATTTTTTTATATTTAGAAATAAACATTAAAATTTCCTGATCAAAAATTTTAATCCCCATTTTTAAATGTATGAAAAGTCTGTATATATGCATATATGCATGTAATATGTATGTTAATATGCTTTTCGCATTGTAAGAAAAAAAAAAAAAAAAAAAAGAAACCTAGAGCCATCGATTTTTGAACACATGTAGTCCTCCATCAGAATACGTGCAATTCGAAAACTGAATTTTCATTTTCGAATTTGTTTTCTACTTATTTCAAGTTTATATGTTATGTTTCTACTTATTTCATGCTCACTTTGAATCAGCGAATTAAAAGTGAGCAGTGGTAACACTGTTCGAAATAAAACATTTTTATATCAGTGTCCCAGATTGTTCACATTGGATAAAATGTTAGGTATTTATCTTTCAGTTTTAATCAACAGACTCAACTATTTAAAACAAATGTTTTGCCAATGTCCGAAATAAAATATTTTATCTTCCCCACTCCAGATTGTTGCCATTCAATAAAAGATAAGGTATAATCTATCTGTTACTGAGTAACAAACTAAACGACGGGTACATTTATGCTGATTTCTGACTCTGCGCATGCAGCAACGTAAGTATCTGGCATGAAGAAAATTATGACATTGCCTATAAAAGAACTTCGGAACTTCGGAAATCGGAAAATTAGAATAAAAATTTCAAAACTTTTAGTGAAAGAAAATTTATGAAATATAGGAAATATAAATGCGAATTTAGCAAAATGAATGCAACGTAAAATATTTATCAAAAAAAAAAAAAAAAAAACTGCCTCAGTAAATGATGACACATTGTTTTGCAGTTCATCATTTGTCAGATATTGGAAAAGAAAAATAAGATGGTTCTTTAACACTTAACGATTGACGAAGTAATTAACAATACTGTCTCTCTAAAATTTCTTTGAACTATGTTGAAAAACATATATAAATTTAAATTAATAAAGGAGATTAAACACGGCATATATTTCAAATTTGCTGATCCACACGGCAGCTCGCATAGAAAGTCAAATGGTCAGTATGATATTTACAAAGTCACTAGGTTTGGGTTCGAATACTGAGTCATGCTTGTATATTTCTGATCATCATATCTTAAATAGATTTTAGGCGTGTGAAATCTACAGAAAGATGATGTAAATCCTCTCATAATTCCTTCCAGAAGATGGTAAAGAGAAAGTATATGAGATTCCCAGTGCCTTTACTCGGCCTATTCTTGATCAAAACTGGGTTGGGTTGTAAGCTTTGGGACATATTTCTTAACCGGCGTTAAGTTTTTCGCTCGATGCAAACTTTGCGCTCCAAAACTCTGCCACTCGGTGGAGCCGGCATTGCATCAGCCGCTGGTGCAACAAACGCAACTCATCTTCTGTAAACCTACAGTTCTTCTTGTAAGTACTTTCTCTTGTCTGATCTCATCATCAGAATATGTCCATGAAGCAATGGAGTATATGCTCACTGCTCACGTTTTTCGTTAGCAAGAACCTTGGCCACCATATAGGCGATATTAGGATTTTTCCCAGTTCCACCCCAGTTTTGAGAGACAGCAACCCGGGGGATGGGTAGCAGGGTCTCCCACTCTTCTTCCCACACCAAACCATACGAGAGGACTTTTGGCTCGCCATATATTTAACGTGTCGCCATGCCGCATGAACACTATTATTTTAGAAGGCTATCTCAACTGCAGAAGCTTCATTTTTAGACTTTTACATACGTCAAAACCTTAAGCGGACTTATTCAGAAATCTGGAAAGAGCAGGAGTAGTGCATCTCCCGCTGCATGGCAGAATAACCAACAAAGTATCAAAGTATCATGGATGTGGTGTATCGAGAACTGATCGTGATTTCCAAAGAACCTGACAAGAGTGGAGTTCCAAAACCATCCAAGATAATAGCCACCAGCTAGATAAGTTTGAGTTGTCTTCCAAGCCCAAGGTTTTTGCCAGATGTTCCATCCATCGGATCTACTGCTGATACAACCAGGTTACCAAAGAAACTTGCTGTGCCACAACCTTTGCGTCAGTCCAGTGGAATTCGACGTCCCCCAAATAGACTGCAGTTGTGATAAAAGTGGAGGGATGTGGTCCGGTGGAATTCGACGTCGGTTCAGTGGAATTCGACGTCCCCCAGATAGACTGCAGTTGTGATAAAAGTGGAGAGATGTAGTGTATCGAGAACTTATTCATAATCGGACTTAAAGCTGGCGCAGCGCCAAGCATCCTCGCGAAGTAGTTGTAAACCAGAACTAAGACTGGGATGCGAGTAGTTGTAGTAATACGTGTGTATGCGAATGATGCGTTTCGTACATAATGATGTAGCATGTAATTAAATAAAGTGTCTTGCGAAATAATTACTCACAAAGATATACAACAATGGACAGGTACAGGTACAGGTAGAAGCTAGGCCGGCACCTCCGTAGGACCACAGGTACTATACATTTACAAGCACCCATGCCCTCTCCGGGATTTGAACCCGGGCCCTTCGATACGGTAGTTACAGTCACTAACCACCAGCCGCGTTTGGGCGACGCTTTTAACCTATAATAATGATATACTGGCAGACATCTGCATTCTTTTGAATTGCTTCCTCTCAATGTTTCTAAGCTAATATTTCGATTTCAAAGAACAGGCCTTTCATTTATTTACAAAAAAGTTTCTTTGATTTGGGAAAAATAAAAATGCTGGCCGTTGGCAACAAAGCTCGGGGAACTTTTTGGAGAAGGTTTCTCAAATACATACACTGTGTCCGCAAACGGTTACAGGGTTATTATTATTTTAATTAATCAATAATTATGATTTAGACCTCAACTATAACGTCTCCTTTTCCGTTTCTTCATCAGAAATGACAGTTATATAATAGTATTTAAGCTGAGGTTTTTGGATTGTAAGATAGAGCGTGTTTCTGTCTGTGGAAGCCACATTACTAGGTTTTGCCAGTTCTGATAAGATAGTAACTCTTCGTCTTTGCGATATTGCTGCAGGCATTTAATTTTTACGCCGGTGAGAAGTTCTGAGACAACTTATAATTTAAAATAAATTTTGTAGTCTTTAACTACTAGGCTTAATTTAACACTTGAATTTGATCGTAACTTTAAGTCACATCGCCACGAGTGGTGGCTGATATTGTAAGCACAAAACGTGCAATTTATGTTCAAGTGCTTATTTAATACAACGGTTATTTTAACTTTCGTAAGTCTCTGTAGTTAACTTCAGACGATAATTCGCTTTAAATCTGTTAGGAGTTTGGAACTGGTTTATTCTGCCAAAGCAGGTCAAACTCTATAAGCTCTTCTCCAGCCTTTCTTTATTCCCTGGAACCGCAAAATACAGACATATATTTATAGCAACAAAAATGATTCAAATGAGGCAAATATTCATGCTTTAAAATTTTTTAATTTAAATATCAGTTTTTATAAAAATTACGAAATCTAAATTTTTATACATTTTTTCGCCTATACTATAACTATTTTCTATTCGACCCCTATACTTATTTTTAAGAAGGTTTAATAATTAATACAAAAGATAAAATACAAAACATTTGACTACGTGCAAAGAAATTTGACGGAGATATTTCATTTTAAAGTTGGAGATCATGTTCAGGGGTCGTACACAAATTGAAAAGGAAAAATTTATGCATTTGTGCGCAATTAAAAATAAAACATCCGTTTCGGAAAAGATTTCTGATATTAATAGATTAAGCGGAAAGTATTTCTGTGCACATTGTCGTAAAAAATACTGATCATTTATATTTTTCCCCAAGAAATTGTCTTATTCACAAGAATTGTCTTATTCACAAAATCTTACATAATTCAAGTTCCAGAACACACTAGCAGGTTTTCAGGTTTCAGTATTGGCATAGTTCCAATTTATAGCATTATAAGCCTAAATCATGAACTGTATGAATTCATCATGCAGCATGCGATCATACGCATCATTCATTGAACTATAAGTTAGCTTTTATAGCCACAGAGAAAAGTTTTCACTCATGAAACAAATGTCGATGTGGAATCTGTTAACACTTGTAAATTGTTTTATTCTATAGATCTGCACAGCCAGCTCGTAGAGCTAATATGTTTTACGAAGTAGAAGCGATAGGGTTTTTTAAATCAGGATTTTCCAACTACCAACCTGACGTGCTACCAATCAAAACCGCAAAGGCATGCGATGAGGTGGGAGAAAATGTTTTATATGTTCTCTCACTTAAACGGCAATTTAGAAGAAGAAGACTCAGTTGCCAAATCCATCTAGTGATGAATTTTCGTCCATCACGTTTAGCTGGGTGCCATTGTAGAGCTATTTAGAATTTTTTAAACGAGGAATGGGGAAAAAAAAAATCAGTTATGCCCTTGTTGCATTCGAACTTCTGACTTTTTCCTTGCCAGCCCGACCTGCTACTAATCACACCACAAGGCTCATGGTGAGGAAGGAGAAAATTCCTTATATGTTCCAAAGGAAGCCTGAAGAGGAAGAAAAGGCTGTCGAAAAATCCAAAATAGTGATGAATTACCGTTCATCACCTTATAGAGACATGAGGAACTTTTTGGAAGCAGGAGAGATAAAAAAGGAGAGCATCTTCGCCGGGACTCGAGCCACTGGCCTCTCGAATATGCGCCGAGCTTGCTGACCACTACACTACGAAGGCATGCTAAGAAGGTGAGAGAAATACCTTATATACTCCTCATTTTAATGGGCGACTGGGGATTTAGGGGACCCAGTCGCTAAATCCTGGTGGTGAAGAATCATCATTCACCACCTTTCGTGCGCCACTGTAGATACATTAGGTACTTTTTAGAAGCAGGAGAGATGAAAAATGAGCAACGCCTTCGCCTGGACTTGAATCACGGGCCTCTCGAATACGCGCCGAACGTGCTGACCACTA